GCAGATTTGATGGCCTACTACATCTTTTTCTGCTGTCAGGGTTCTATGTTTCTAATAATGCTAAATGTGAAAATTATAGAGAGATAATACATTTGCAAGTCTTAACCTTGGGTGGCTGGGGATCATCGGATTTTGAACCATCATCTCCAAAAGGCCTTTTGCTGTGAACTATATTCAGCATGCAAAAGCAGAAAAGTGTCAGGAGCAGACAATAAGACAATAACTAGATCTGCGTACTGAACTAAACCATGTGATTCCCCCCCCCCTTTAAATTTAGTACAGTAAGTTATGTAGGCTCAGCCACTGTCATTAACAAACCGTGATTTAGGGCTTACCATATTATATGACTCCAACAAAGCGTGCTTTAAATAATCAAGCATAATTAAAAAATAAACCATACTTTAGCTTCCTTTGGGACTAAAGCAATCTGTTCACCCCAGCTACTATAGTTTATAAGACATGGCTTAGTGCAGGGGTCTTCAAAGTTGGCCCTTTTATGACTTGTGGACTTCAACTCCCAGAATCTTGGCTGAGGAACTCTGGGAGTTGAAGTCCACAAGTCATAAATGGGCCAACTTTGAAGACCCCTGGCTTAGTGTGATGCATGAACCCAACCAATGGCTTAGTACATACATTGTATGGTAGTTTCCCGAGTAAACGAGTTGGATTCGTTCCTACTTTGTGTTAAGCCACAGCTTACAAAGCTTATGTCAAGATTCGCGCAAAGCCAAAATTACTCCAAATTGCAGCTTTGTGTGACGTGTGACCAGTCACTGTAACTCACTAGCAAATCACAGTTAAAGCAATTAATAGTTAAGTGAAGTATGGGAGCCAAGGCAACACAAAAAACATTTCTCAGCATGATAAGATCTGTGTCTCAACTCTTTTTTTTCGGGGGGGGGGGGGGATCAAGTTTCTTACTGGGCTACTGACTCTTCCAATTAATCATCATAAACCAGACTTGGCTTCCTAGAACAATCCTACTTGTGACAGGACTGGGCAACTGGTAATGGGGTGAATCATGCAGGATGCTCCCTTCCAGTTACTTAAGTCCTTCTGGCTGGATTCACACAAAACCAAAACAACAAAGACAATCCATTGTCTCTGAACCCAACTCAATGAAATAAAACTTCCTGGGTTAATTACAAAAAAAAGCCGGGCCTGTCATTTGAATAGCATCTCCGTGTTGTTCTTGACTTGTGGCTTACTAGGACAACTTTATATTTAGTCAGAAGTAAGCCGCTACTGACTTCAATGTCACTGTAAAAGCTGGCCATGGCTATTTGGTAATGTCAGACAACAGGGAAAAAAAAATCTGGATGGGGGTCCTTCCAAACATTTTATCATTTGGGGAGGGGGGATGAATTCAGAAGGGTCTGCATCCAGGTCTTCTTTCACGATCTTGATCTTCTGAGGCTGCTCAAGTGAGATGCCAAACAGCTCTCTCTCTCTCTCTCTCTCTCTCTCTCTCTCTCTCTCTCACACACACACACACACACACACACACACACACACACACACACAAAGCAAAGAGGAATTTGCAGAAGACAAAGGAAAACTATTGGTGAAAATAAGCCATAGTTCTGAAGGTAGGGGGAAAAAAATGACTGTATAGAACAGGGGTAGGCAACCTTGGCTCTTTTGTGACTCGTGGATTTCAACTCCCAGAATTCCTGAGGCAGCCACACTGAGGGGAAAGGGAGAGGTTTCCAAGCTGAGCCATGTTGGCTCAGGAATTCTGGGAGTTGAAGTTTACGAGTCAGAAAGTGGCCTAGGCCTAGACCAGGGGTAGGTAACCTTGGCTCTTTTGTGAATTGTGGACTTCAACTCCCAGAATTCCTGAGCCAGCCCTGCTGAGGGGAAAGGGAGAGGTTTCCAAGTTGAGCCATGCTGGCTGAGGAATTCTGGGAGTTGAAGTCCACAAATCATGAAGGGGCCAAGGTTTCCCTCATGCTGGCTCAGGAATTCCGGGAGTTGAAGTCCATGAGTCATAAAAGAGCCAAGGTTGCCTACCCCTGGTATAGAAAATATAGATTTCTTTAGAAATCAGACTTCAAGATATTTGGAGCTAAACTGGCAAACTACTTGTTTGTTTCTAATTCATCATCTGAACCCCATTAGCTATAGTACATTCCATGTTCACAAAATCTCAGAGATTAACCAAGAGTGGTTGTTTCACCTGCTACTCTGCCTCTGGCAGACAAGATCCTCACGAGTCCCATTTTAGGCTGCTAATGCAATCAGCTGATCCCCTTTGAAATTAAGATCTCGTTATTGGGGTCTCGGCTTCTCTGCGCCTCCCCAGCCCCAAAGAACGAGAAGGAGAAAGATTCTGCTTCAAATATGGTTTCTTGCCATAATTGTGAAGTGAATCATTGCCCTGGTTAAGTTAGTACCATGGTTGCTAAGTGTTACTCATTGACTTTGCTTGTCAGAACTTGCAAAAGATAATAATGATGATGATGATGATGATGATGATGATGGAAGGGACCTTAAAGGTCATCTAGTCCAACCCCCTGCTCAGGAAGGAAACCCTATACCATTCCTGACAAATGGCTGTCCTGTCTCTTCTTAAAAACTTCCAGTGTTGGAGCATTCACAACTTCTGGAGGCAGGTGGTTCCACTGGTTAATTGTTCTCACTGTAAGGAAGTTTCTCCTCAGTTCCAGGTTGTTTCTCTCCTTGATGAGTTTCCATCTGTTGCTTCTTGTCCTGCCTTCAGGTGCTTTGGAAAATAGCTTAATTCCCTCTTCTTTGTGGCAGCCCCTGAGAGATTGGAACGCTGCTATCATGTCCCCCTTCGTCCTTCTCTTCGTTAAACTAGACATCCCCAATTCCAGCAACCGTTCCTTATATGTTTTAGCCTCCAGTCCCCTAATCATCTTTGTTGCTCTTCTCTGTACTCTTTCTAGAGTCTCAACATCCTTTTTACATCATGGTGACCAAAACTGGATGCAATATTCCAAGTGTGGCCTTACCAAGGCATTGTAAAGTGGTATTAATACTTCACCTGATCTTGATTCTATCCCTCTGTTGATGCAGCCCAGCATTGTGTTGGCTTTTTTGGCCGCTGCAGCACACAGCTGGCTCCTATTTAAGGGATCGTCCACTAGGACTCCGAGGTCCCTCTCACAGTTACTACTATTGAGCAAGGTACCACCTACACTATACCTGTACATTTGGTTTTTCTTGCCTAAATGTAGAACCGGATGCCAGGATACTGCAACTATCGTAAGTACATGCCAGTTGCCAAGCGTTTGAATTTGGATCATGTGACCCTGGGTAATGTTGCCATGGCCGTTAAAGAGTGAAAAATGTGCCAAGTCACTTTTTTCAATGATGTTGTAACTTGGAACGGTCACTAAACGAACTGTCAAAGACTACCTGTACAGCGGCATTTTCACAAAGTCCAGTTCACTGGGACCAACAGGAATATTACACAGGCCTTGTGGGAAGCAAATATGACTTTTAAGCCAACTTTACATTTTAGAATCATTTTTTTTTGCAAAGGTTTTTAGAGCAGTGTTTCTCAACCTTGACAATTTTAAGGCATGTGGACTTCAACTCCCAGAATTCCACAGCCAGCATTCTGGGAGTTGAAGTCCACATGCCTTAAAATGGTCAAGGTTGAGAAACACTGTTTTAGAGGGTAAGAGTTGGAAAGTTTATATCAAGAGGTGCTTCTTTCGAATGTTAGTTTAGAATCCAATCAGAAATTATATACTGCGAAAAAAAACCATATCTAATTTCTTATACTCCTGGTTAATGTTTCAGAACATGATTAAGGCAATAAAATGGTATTAAACCAAGGACACTGCATGCTTGAGAAGACATATATACCTGGCAGCCCCATCTGAATATAATCCTAAATTCTTACCTGTATCTCAAGAGCAACACAAAGCAACTACAATACAATAAACACTACACGTTCTTCATTTGTAAAAGAAGGGCAAATTTATGCTTTATTCAAGACAGAACAGAAACCAAACCAACCTGTCAAAGATACCAAAGAGATTTCCTACTGTTTAAAACCAATGCAGTTAAATGTATACATTTTTTTAAGGTTAGGAAGGTATCAAATTCACATCCATATCAATATGATACATGGAAAACTATTAACACCAAACTTATTTTTAGAAACCATTCACATTTGTTTAGACATATTATTTCCTGCATAGCCTTTTGAACAGATACCCTGACAACGCAGCTTTTTTAAAAAGCTGCTTTATTTTCTCCTAAGTTTTATGTAGAAGAGAGGGGTAGGAAACCAGTTTACATATTTTTAATTTTTTTAAAAAATTGCTTTTTTTTTAAAAAAAAAGAAAACATTCACAGACAAAATTAACAAGGTGGATCAATGAGCAATAGCTGAAGATATTGCATCCAAGGTATTGCTTTAAAATATCACAATCTTAGAGATCTTTTTTGAATTTTTTTGAATGCTTATATCATTTCACTGCATGCCATTTCAAACTGCATTCAAAGGGCCTTTTGGTTTCAGATTGCTTTCCACGTGGTAGGAGCAGCCTTCAGAAAAACACACAGCATAGTCATACAGAGGTACTCAAAACAATTTGTTAATTCTCCGTCAACTTTCACAACTGAAAATTTAGACTGCAAACCTAAACCCAGAAAGCTGTAGGGACCTGTGTAGGATTTACTTCTGAGTAAACATACTTAGGATCTCATTAACTGTGGAAAGATGAAATCAGTCTTCCAGCAAATTTAACCAGATTGAGCTACACACATCATTTTTAACTTTTAGCAGAATGAAAGAGTGCTTGTATGTATGTATGTATGTATGTATGTATGTATGTATGTATGTATGTATAGGCCTTTGGTTGTTCAGGTTTTCTCCCACGTAAAATTGGAAGTGTCTTGGCGACGTTTCGACAAAGTCCCATTCGTTATCTTCAGGCTGGTGTTTTCAGCTTGGCAACTTTTAAGACTTGTGGACTTCAACTCCCAGCCAGAATTCTGCGAGTTGAAGTCCACAAGTCTTAAAAGTTGCCAAATTTGGACAGCCCTGCCTTAAATGTATAGATAGAAGTGTCCCTGATAATTTACCCTAAGTGGGTTTAAGAGTCCACATTTTTACCATTATTTGAACCAACGTGGAACCCAATGCAGGTACCGGGAAAACAACCCAAGATGTCAATCATAAACCACACCACAGAAGGAGGAAGATAACATTTGTTAATGCTTGAATCGTTCAAACTGTCATTTGGCATCAAGATTAGAAAAGCAGGGAAGGAACTTGTTATGGAGCACAAAAAGACGTTGACTAAAAGAAAAGCAATCAAAATGATCATGTTATGAATTCCTTCATGAGTGGCTGATCATATTTTACGGGCTGCAAATGACAACTCCTTTCCATCTGTAATTTACACCTGGCCAAATTTCAAGACTAGTCCCGCTATTATTTCACAACATAGTCCAGAATGGATAGCATAAAATTACAGTTTGATTGTACGAAACACGTCCACACCGACAAATTATTCTGTTTTGACAGGTGGTATATGTTGTTAAGCATGCTTCTATGGTAAACATTCACTTAATCTCTTTCATTCCATTTTCCCAAATCAATTTAACCCTTGGAGAGATAGATCTATTATTTTTTCTCTCTCCAATTCTGGCTATTAGGATTAGTCAGTTTTGTTTTTTTTTTTACAAAACGTAAGATTCCTCTAAACCAGTGTTTCTCAACCTTGACAATTTTAAGGCATGTGGACTTCAACTCCCAGAATTCCACAGCCAGCATTGCTGGCTGTGGAATTCTGGGAGTTGAAGTCCACATGCCTTAAAATTGTCAAGGTTGAGAAACACTGCTCTAAACATAAATACCGTGAATATAAAAACTTGAATGAAAGCGAATGAGAACAGTGAATGGTTTACCAAAAAAAAAACTTTCCAATTCACAAATCAGCCCATTTCTGCCCTAAGGGATGGAGGAACCAAACATGGCAAGCAGTATATAATTCTGTTTTAAGATGCACACTTAGCATTTGTTTTTAAGAAAATATTTACAGGACACACTGATTTGGTACACGAGTCTTTCCATTTCAATTCTGTTTTTTTTTTTGTTTTGTTTTTCTTTTCACAAATAAACAGTTCTGGCATGCAAAAGGAGATGAGGGATACATGGAGTGGCCCTACAACTTAAGACACACCAAAAAAAAAAGGTTGCGAAGGTGTACGCTCTGCTGATGGAAAAAGTCAGGAAGAGCATCCCGGTGGGGAAAAGAAAAAACCCGAATAACGTCTGTTTTCTCAAGAAGGTGACCAGGAAAAAGCAAACTCTGCTAAAAAGCCTAAAGGGGGGTACCCAAAAAAAAAATGGTGTATTTGTTTACAACGGTCAAGCTTTTTCCCCGCTGAGATCTGGGTTAACTGCAGCTGCTGGAGGATCTCGTCAAGTTGGCGACGGGTTCAAGCTGGATTCCACAATATTCCCGTTTTCGGGGAAGAGAGCTGGAAAATTGTTATTCAAGGTCTCTGGCGCCTCTGAAGCCATCTCGGCATTTTGACAGCTGGCGTAAGACGAGTTAAAGGGCTGCGGCGGAAGTCCTTGGCTATCCGGCACCTGCATAAAAATCCCCGCCTGGGGCGTGGAGGCGGGTCTTTGGCCATCTAAGGGCCCTTTGGCCCCCGTGGACTCCAGCTGCTGCTTGCCTTCTTCGTCGGTGTCCAGGCGGGTGAGTTTTTCTATCCACATGCGGAACTTCTCCTCCGTCTGCCTCTGCATCTCGGCAAAGCAGTTCATGGCCTCTTCCAGGACGCTGCCTATGCAGTTCCTATCCCACACGGTGCCCCTGTCAAGCAATCCAGGGGTTTCCCCGGCCGCTCCTTCAGATCCCCCAGCACGACGGAAGCCAGCTTGAAAGACATGGAGGCCATGGCGTGAGACAGCGTTAAAGGGAGAGACATCACATCCACACACATTAAGGCATGCGAGAGTATCCGTAGGCACCAGCTTACACACGCTTGGTCAGATGCTAGCTCTAGCTGATCGAGGGACACTGTCTCAGAGACGCCACCGCGTCGGTTAAGCGCTGGTAAACCACCCGTACGCTAAGGAAGAACCGTTTGGCTTTTGGAAATTATTTTCAGAAAGCAAAATGAACACCATTCCCATATACGGTTTAAGCCTTCGTTACAGAAAGCAAATAATAATAATACCACCCCCAGAAATCGTGGGCGCCCCATCACTGGAGATCTTTAAAGAGAGACTTGATAATCACCTGCCTGAGACGGTGTAGGTTCTCCTGCTTAAGCAGGGGGCTGGACTAGAAGACCTCCAAGGTCCCTTCCAGTTCTATTCTATTCTATTCCATTCCATTCCATTCTCTATTCTATTCCATTCGCTAACTATTCTATTCTATTCTATTCTATTCTATTCTATTCCATTCCATTCTCTAACTATTCTATTCTATTCTCTTATTCTATTCTATTCCATTTTTTCTATTCTATTCCATTCCATTCTCTAACTATTCTATTCTATTCTCTATTCTATTCTATTCCATTCCATTTTTTCTATTCTATTCCATTCCATTCCATTCTATTCTCTTATTCTATTCTATTCTATTCTATTCTATTCTATTCTATTCTATTCCATTTTTTCTATTCTATTCCATTCCATTCCATTCTATTCTCTTATTCTATTCTATTCTATTCTATTCTATTCTATTCTATTCTATTCTATTCTATTCTATTCCATTTTTTCTATTCTAGTCCATTCCATTCTCTAACTATTCTATTCTATTCTATTCTATTCTATTCTATTCTATTCTATTCTATTCTACTCCACTCTATTCTATTCTACTCTACCTACCCTACTCTAATTCTATTCTTTTCTACTCTATTTTATTCTAATAGAACAACTTCAAATCTAGGTTGTATGCGTATTTTTCTTAACATAAAGTACCCCTCCCAAAGCAGATCAGAGATATCAAGTTCAGCATTCCACATCCGTTAATTCAGAGGTCCCCAACCTTTTGGGCACCAGGGACCGATTCCGTGGAGAGAGATTTTTTTCGCGCACCAGAGGGTGCGTGGTTTTGTCTGCTGCCTGCATCCCGCAGACGGGGCTTTGCTTGTTTGTGCGGCCCAGTTGCTGGCATGCTGTGGCCTGGTACTGATTCATGGACCGGGGTTGGGGACCCCTGCATTAATCCCTTAGTAAGTATCTTTGGAAGTTAGTATGTCTTGAGGGTGACAGGCCACTCCTGGTTGTTCCTCAACGTATTACCCATAAACATGACAGTTTTGTTCATCTTACAGCCACTGTCTTTCTCTAGGCCTCTGAGATTTAAAAGAGGCTTAACTATCCACAAGAGAAGCGGTACACAATTAGGTCAAACCAATTTTCATGACACTGCTTTAAAAAGAAAGTAAGACATTCACACCCAAAGCCCATCCAGTCCTGCATTCTGTTCTCACCAAGGCCCATCAGATATCCCTTCGTAGCTTATGACGAAGACAAGAAATTATCCTTCCAATTGTGTTTCTCAGCAACTACCTCATCACAACTAGCAGTCTTTGACAGCTTCTGTTAAACTGCTTAATTCCCTTTTAAAAGCTTCTAATTTGGTAGCCATCGCCACTCTGATGGGAAAAAAAATTTAAATCCCAAATCTTGGGAGACCTGCTCCGTGGACTTCATTGGGGGAAAAACTGCTCCTGCAGGCAGTTATTTATTATTATGCCACATAAGTTATCAATTACACAATTGTAGATGATCCCAAAGAAACACTTTGGAAAAGTCCAGACTTAAGGCACAGTTAGAATATGCCCACTGAAATCAAGATTTTAAATAAGACTCAGTCTGGTGCAATTTTCTAATATCATACTCACAGAAATGTAAACAAATTTAACTTTCAAGTTGTTTACTGGTGATATTTAGAACTTTGCCAAAAATTCATGGTATTTTGTCAGGGAATAAAATGACTAAGGACAGAGCAGATACACATGGGTACAGAGAAAAATTAGGAGGAACACAAGACAGTGAACAATGAAGAAAAAAATGGAAATACACTAATTATTTCCAGTGGTTACTATAAATTATTTTCCAGCATTCTTTTGGTGTGGGCTTCATATACATACCATCTGCATATTTTATCTGAGACAGTAATGCCTAACCTTTTTGTTTTAGGGACATTAAATATCTAACCTTCTCTATTATAAAAAATAAAGCCATGATAGTCAAGGCAGAGGAATGTGTTTTTCCACATAAATCTACAGCTGAATTTGCTACAGCCTTCTGCAGATGTTAAAGCAAATACAGTACATTGTCCATTAAACAGATGTACCAGAAAATCATGGAAACTGAAGAACTGGGTTATTTAGATGAACTTTGAGGGTGTGTGTGTCAAATGGTAATATATCATTTAATATAAAGGTAACTTTATCAAATAAATGGGCAAGATGTAGGCATGCAAATTTAGCAACCGGGTAATCAGCAAATAACTGTATCTGGCTGACTTATCTGGCTCAGAAACTAAACAAGGCCTGATCAGGACTTGAATGGAATGGAAGGCAAAGAAATTTCATTTTTATGTATGCTGATTAGTATATATTTAAAGTGACAATAAAGTTATTATTCCATTCCATTCCATTCCATTCCGAAAATATAGGGCAGTCGACTAAAGTAGGAATCAAAAAAGCATTAATAGAAGGCAAAAATAAATTAATGCAGTATACAGTTGTAAAGACATGTCCATGTAGGACTAACGCCATAGCAAATCTAGTCAACTTTGGTCTTGTCAAAAAAAGTTAAAGATGGTTAGAATGAATAATTAACAATAGGAGACTACAGAGAAATCTCAAGATGTAGAATAGATTGAAAAATAAAAAATAACTTGGTAAAAACCAATGACAAACCTTTCCCTACTGCTACCAATAAAATTGCATGAAAGCACCTAGGAAATCAACAAAAGGTTGATATGTTACAAGAAATGTTTTTTTTTCAATCTTCCCTAACCTGTAGCCCCCCCAAGGGTGTTGGGTTTTTTTTAATGTAACTCCCCAGAGACAAACTAGCAAATTATTATTCACAGTTAATGAAACTACACTCCAACCATATCTAGAAAACTACTGTTGAACCAGGATGCATTTTGAGCTAATAATACCAGGAGCATTTTAGGCACACTTTTCAGATGGCTCCTGAAACCACGATACGTATTTCAGAGAAAAAAATTATGAACAATCCAGATCATCGCATTCTGTTTTGAATTCAAAATCAAAGCCTTGCTGCTGTATTCAGACAACAAAAACTAAGAAAGCGTCAACCTTGGATTTCTCTGCAAAGACACAGAGCACGCAGACACAATTCTACCTTAATCCCAACCACAAAACTTCAGTCTGCAAAAGGAACACGTCTTAGAAACGTAACACAAATGTAATTTTGTATAAGTTAGCTCATCGAGAGAGAGAAAAAAGGAAAAATTGTAGGAAACTAAACCGACTAAACCAGTGGTTCTCAACCTTTTTAATGCCGCGACCCCCAACCGGTCGTAAGTCGAGGACTACTAAACCAGTCGTAAGTCGAGGACTACTCAACTGGTGCAGCACCGTTTGCAGAATGGGACTTTGGCGGGCACAGCAGGGCAGAGACAGTCTGGACAATTCCTATTGGCTTTTGAAAGCCAATAGAATTAGACTCTATTCAAGAGAGTCTATTCTATTGGCTTTCCAAAGCCAACAGAATAAAAGGGAGGAGCACAGCTAAGGAAAAGGGGGGAAAAAATGGCGGACTGTGTTGTTTGGCGACCCCTGTGAAATGGTCGTTCGACCCCAAATGGGGTCCCCACCCACAGGTTGAGAACCACTGTTCTAAACCTTCCGTTATGCGTTTGTATTTCACTCTTCTGAATTATCTTTTGGCACAAGGCAGAGAGTAAAAGAACCACATATTTTCCTATTTCTCTTTCAGTTCACGGATACACACCTCAAAATGCCTCTGGGGGTAACCACCCCAATCTTCAGGGGTTTACAAATTTGGGTTAAACAAGCTGGTCAACCAAGCCTTGTTGGCCACACCCAATCAAAGGCAAACGATATCCTTCTCTATTCCAATTTGATAATAGGCAACCTTTGTGTCCCAGCTGAACAAGCCATGTTTTAACACCTGCCTCCAAACCTCCCTTTCCTGATAAGAATTAGCGGAAGGTCTGGGAAGGCATGACTGACATCCATCAGTCAGCAAAAGTCCCAACTACATCTCAGGTATAAGCCTTTTCTCTACCTCCCCTCCATTTGTTCATTCAAAAGATAACAGAAGTATAGTCGTGGCCAAAATTGTGGAAACTTTTTGGGAAAAGCGTACAGTAGAAATGCCACCTTTGGCTAAGTTTCCACCCATTTTTCTTCTAATTTCTTTACAACTGCAGCCTTGTTCACTTAATAACACTATTTTACATCGCTTTCTGGGTGACCAGTCAACTCTTTGCACCATTCCTTTAATTTTATTAGGTTTTACAAGCTCACTAAATGAAAGAACACAAAAAACCCAACCAACTCGATAGCGATCACATAACACACTGACAAATGTCCTCCTCTCAGCTTCAATACAGGACATCAATCACTGGATCCTACTGTGATCTGATTGGCTCCTTGCCAAAACAAGATGAGACCCGATTGGCTCTCGAAACACTCATGCTCATTGGCTACGATCAGATGAAGGAAAGCTACCTGAGATCAACCTAAACAAGTTGTGTTTCCTTATTCTGCTTATTTGGCTATAACTTTTCATAGAATACAGGTAATTGAACAAACTATGTTGCATTACGTTCTTGATTAAATTATCTTTCCATTGATATGTAATTTTATGGTACTCCTCCCAAAAAAAAAGAAGAAGAAGTGGTGTTATTAGCCATCAAACCTCAAAAATACACTTTCCCCAAAAGTTTTCCACAATTTTGGCCACAACTGTAAGCAGAGTTTCCTTGTCTCATTGTCTGCAACGGCGCTAATGCCCCAGTTCTGCTAGCATGTACCCCCCCACACACACAAAAAAGGCCTCCTGCTGTCTTGTCATCTTAATATCACAGGTAGTCCCCGACTTACGACTACAATGGAGTCCAAACTTTCTATTGCTAAGCGAGACCGTCAAGTGAGTTTTGCCCCATCTGGGTCAACCTTCTTGACATAGTTCAGTGAATCGCTGCAGTGGTGAAATTAGTAACACGGTTGTGAAGCCAATCGGGCTTCCCACACTGACTTTGAAGGTCGCAAAAAGGGGACCCCAACGAGACTCGGGGATACTGCGGCTGTCATAAATATGAGTTCAGCTGCCGAGCATCTGAATTTTTGCATCCTGTGACCACGGAGATGCTGCAATGGTTTTAAGTGTGGAAAACGGTCACAAGCCACTTTTTTTTCCAGTGCCGCTGTAAGTTCGAATGGTCACTAAACAAAAACTGTCATAAGTCGAGAACTACCCGTATTCAGGGGTGGGATTCAAGTATGCAAACAACCAGTTCTCTGTGGGGATGCTACTTCCAGAAGTCCGTTCTGGGCCTGGGCAAGAAAAAATTAGCTACCGGTTCTGCTGAAGTGGTGCGAACTGGCTGAATCCCACCACAGGAAGGAAGGAAGGAAGGAAGGAAGGAAGGAAGGAAGGAAGGAAGGAAGGAAGGAAGGAAGGTGAATGGAAGGGGGGAAAGAAGGAAGGAAGACAAATGGGAGGGGGAGGGAAGGAAGGAAGGAAGACAGGTGGATGGAAGGAGGGAAAGAAGGAAGGAAGGAAGACAAATGGGAGGGGGAGGGAAGGAAGGAAGGAAGGAAGGAAGGAAGGAAGGAAGGAACAAAAGGAAGGAAGGAAGGAAGGAAGGAAGGAAGGAAGGAAGGAAGGAAGGAAGGAAGGAAGGAAGGAAGGAAGACAGGTGAATGGAAGGGGGGAAAGAAGGAAGGAAGACAAATGGGAGGGGGAGGGAAGGAAGGAAGGAAGACAGGTGGATGGAAGGAGGGAAAGAAGGAAGGAAGGAAGACAAATGGGAGGGGGAGGGAAGGAAGGAAGGAAGGAAGGAAGGAAGGAAGGAAGGAAGGAAGGAAGGAAGGAAGACAAAAGGAAGGAAGGAAGGAAGGAAGGAAGGAAGGAAGGAAGGAAGGAAGGAAGGAAGGAAGGAAGGAAGGAAGCAGTGGTGGGATTCAAATATGTGAACAACCAGTTCTCTGTGTGGATGCCGCTTCCGGAAGTCCGTTCTGGGCCTGGCAAGAAAAAATTAGCTACCGGTTCTGCCGAAGTGGTGCGAACTGGCTGAATCCCACCACGGCCTGTATTCCAATTTACAACCAAGATGATGGAAGGCTTCTCCCTCTAACTTGGACTTGGAAGGCTAAACATTACGCACGCTTGTCAGTGCTGTTTCCATCTTCCCTGCACTACAGATCAAGCCCGCAACTATCCACCCCTCCTGAGCTGTGACACAAATTGCAATGGTGCCAAAATGATGATGTGAGCGCAATGAAGTTATTGCCCAAATGCCACGCTCAGTCCTGGCGTCAGAGGCCTGACACAGGTTGTGGCATTTATATAACGGTAACAAGAAGCCCATGTTGTCATTATGCACACATACCTAGCATCCCCTTGGCAGATTTCCATGTTTCTGAGCGAGGCTGCGAAGCTTCCAAATGACAGCATTGAATTCTGGCTATTTTCTTGTTGCTAAATGTTTTCTCTCATTTAAAATGTCATTTTATTTAACACTAAATTGTCGCAGACTCATTTCTCTATTTGTACCAAGGGCAGTATAAGCTATCCATCCTAATTTCTACCAGCTGATAAAACCCTGCACGATGAAAGCAACGCATACTAGTTCATATTAACACTGTTGTTCGTGTTTTAGCTGCTGTCAAAACTCACAACTTGTTTAGTCCTTAAAAATATGTGTTAGCGTTATTATACAGACCTCACCAGGAGATAACACATTAGCATCAAAAACTAAACATGCACGTTTTTATAATTTTTTTTTCAAATGTAATCTAATCAGGATTACTTGAGGACGGGACGTTTTTCCTATTTAGAGGCAAAATATTAAAATGTAAATGAATAGGTATAGATTATGTGCTTTTTGCACTTTTATTTTCCCAATTTCATTTCTCTCAGTGGCAGCGGCTTGCTCAATCCCGTGAAGTGAGTCTCTTCATATGCTGAAAATATAGCATGTAAAACATAGTATTAAGATGCAGTGGCGTGTTTCTTTGAATTGCCTGCTAACATTTGTTTAGATTTACAATCTCCTATTTGTTATACAACAAAACAATTCTCCATACAATAGACCAGGGGTAGGCAACCTTGGCTCTTTTATGACTTGTAGACCTCAACACCCAGAATTCCTCAGCCAGCCAACTGAGGAATTCTGGGAGTTGAGGTCCACAAGTCATAAAAGAGCCAAGGTTGCCTACCCCTGGAATAGACTTACACTTCTAAGAACATCACAATCACACCTGTAGTTTTCATGTAAAAGAAATTAAAAAAAAAAAAACAAAAGCAAGGGGACTATTTCTGAATCTGCCAATGAGAAAAAAATATATATTAAGCAGGTTTGCTAAGGTTTAATCAACTAAGCGAAATAGTACAGAATGATAGGTAGTTTTATCTACCAGAATATTACTCTGAAAAAGGTTTTGATGTCTGTTTTGTATGCTTATTAGAAATGAACAAATGAATATAGATTTTTGTCTTATAAACAGGTTCGAATAGAGTCCCTTATTCAGTGGCAAAAAAAAATTATTATCTCTGTTCCTATTCGGAATTTTCTGATGCACGTAATTTATTACACCTCGCCAACGTTGCACGTAACCAAAGAGAAAATTAGCTAGCCTGACCTGTAATTTGAATGAAGGGCTACACTGAATTATGTTCAAACAAAACCAGTCCAGCAGGAGCCATACTGAATTTTATTTGCGATGGGGTGTAACATCTGAGACTGTACCCCACTGGTTGCATTACCAACCATTTATGTGACTTACAATCTGAAATAGTAGAAGCCCAGCAAGAGATACACTATGCTAGTCTGTTCTAATCAAGACTACTGTAAAGACTTGGATAGCCTGTCATCAAATAAATAACCATTTCAACAAACACGCAGGATCCTCCACACATTGTGCAAAGGCAGAATCCATCAAATGTGTGATGAGCTCACAATTGTAGTCTTCCACGTCTACCTACACAGCACAGAAACAGATTTACGTAGAACATCGACTGTAATTACAAAATTCACTTCCTTTTGTGTAAAGGAAGAAACGTGTGCTCGCCCATAAAAGATTAGCAAACCAAAGGATTTTTAAACAGTCTTTTTATTTTAAGGTTGCTATAAATGCAATTATTTAGAATACCATACGCCGAGTACTTGGATACACATTCCTGGATCATGCTATTTTTCAGCTAGAGGAATAATGGAGGCCTTAACAGTGTTTTTTCCCCCCTCTTTTAAATAACACACCTTCTGTTCTTTTATGAGAGCAGCCAAAATATTTTTCTTCTCAATTTAGATGCAGCAGGGGTGTCTGGGAGTGGGTGGGAGGGAAATACGTATTGATAACTGTGCAATCCACACAGCAGAACGTGTTACCTCTTCTTCTGAAACTGCGGGATAGCAAGGGGGGGGGTACGAATTTGCAATCTTGTGTGCAAAATATTCCTTGGAATAACCTTGGAATAATAATAATAATAGATTACTTGCAGCGGAAGCTTTATCGTGCCTTGAAAGGGAGCTGGAAAGTGCAACGTTTAACAAAGGAGGAGGGCTTATAGTAGAGGAGGGAGAGAAACATCTGCAGCGTTTGAGAACGGGCCCGGTCAGAATGAAATAGCAGCACAGGAGACTTCTTTCAAAGATCGCACTCTAAGATGCGCTAATGCCAACAACGGACAACTCAACATTACCAGGATTTGTCTGGATAACAACTGTTATTATTATTATTTATTTTTTTTAAGGCGAACGAGCGTGCAAATCAGAGAGACCGAGAAAAAACCTTTACCCGCCTTTGGGGGGGCGAAAAAAGGTCACGTTCTAAATAACGCCGCAGCCCTCCTATTTTACACAGAGCTCTCTGTTTTCTCCTATTTATTTATTTACCGGGGTTGTGGGGTTTTGGGGGGGGGGCTCCTTTCTAAATTTAGCAGAACAGCGAGAGAGAAAACGGTGGAAGGAGCTTTTTTTTATTTTGGTTTTTTTTTTTTTTTTTGGCGCCAGTTCAGTTTAAAAAACATCCTCTACCTGGTATCTCTGCCGTGATTGTCTTGCTGCTCCCCGAAACTTCGTCGTCGTCCTCCGAGGAGCTGGTGCTGGAGTCGCAGGTGAGGTCGCTGTCGCTGGTACTGCTGTCCTGCAGCAGGTTGTACTTCTTGCGGGCGGCGGCCTCCCGCTTCTGCCTCAGCAGCCGGATGCGCTCCTTGTGCTTCTGGCTCCGGTGACCTTTCGCCTTAGCCACCCGGCCGTTCTGCTTGTCGCTCGACTGCCGGTTCTTCTTGGCGGCCATGGCGGAGGAGGTTTCGCTCTCCGACCGGGACCGCCTGGATTTCCTCGCCGGAGTCGACAGGGAGACGGCGGAGGGATCCCCCTCGACCGCCGCCGTCTCGGCTTGGCCGGGGGCGGCCTCTTCGGCCGAGGAAAGCGTGTCGGAGTCGGCCAAGTGGCCGCTGGACGAAGGGGACAGCATGCAGTGATTGGAAGAGTCACTCTCGTAGATGCGGCCGGCCGTCGGCTTGTCGCTTTCCGTCGAGGCCAGTTGAGATTCGGACGAGTCCCGCCTCAGCTCCATCAGCAAGCAAGGCATGGAGGCGAGCACGGTGGAATCCTCGCCGGGCGCCCGGCTCTCCTTCGGGGCAGGCAGGTCCAGTTCTATAGATCCCTCTTCCCCTAGCGCTGGCTCCGGCTTCTCGGTGAGTTTGGGTGGGATTTCTGAGTGGAGGAGTTCTTCTGTTCTGTCCGCCGCCTCCATCTTCATTTCAAAGTTTTAAGTCTCTCCTGGTCTCAGAGGATAGACCCAGAGCCTTGGGGAAGGGCAACCTCACCTAGGGCTTCAGCAGGAAAGCAACCTAAAGGGCGGGAAAAAAAACACACACACACAGCACGTGACTGAGCTGGTCATGAAGATAAAGATTTGGACAATAATTTCACGAAGAGTTTTGTAAAGCACAAAAGCAGCAGGCTGATCATCCCACACAGCAGGGTAGATCTGTGAGGATGTACAGTCCTTTTTTTTTTCTTAACGTTTTTGATGGATTTTCGAATTTTACATTTAAGTATTGAAAAAGCAAGGTGGCGGTTGAGTTAATCGAAAATTCAATGACATAATAATAATAATAATAATAATAATAATAATAATAATAATAATAGTAGTAGTAGTAGTAGTAGTAGTAGTAGTAGTAGTAGTAGTAGTAAAGTTGGAAGGGACCTTGGAGGCCGGGATATGATCGGACACGCTGTATGAATGTATTTATTTTACTGTTTTATTGTCAGATTATTGTTTTAATTTTGTACGCCGCCCTGAGTCCCTTGGGATTGGGCGGCATATAAATTTTAGAAATAAATAAATAAATAAATAAACCCCCTGCTCAGGCAGAAAACCCTACACCATTTCGGACAAATGGCTGTCCAGTCTCCTCTTAAAAACCTCCAGTGTTGGAGCATTCACTGCTTTTGGAGGCAGGTTGTTCCACTGATTAATTGTTCTCACTGTCAAGAAGTTTCTCCTTAGTTCTAGGTTGCTTCTCTCCTTGATCAGTTTCCACCCGTAGCTTCTTGTCCTGCCTTCAGGTGCTTTGGAAAATAGCTTGACTCCCTCTTCTTTATGGCAGCCCCTGAGATATTGGAAGACTGCTATCATGTCCCCCCTCGTCCTTCTCTTCGTTAAACTAGACATACCCAATTCTAGCAACTGTTCCTTATACGTTTTAGCCTCCAGTCCCCTAATCATCTTTGTTGCTCTTCTCTGTACTCTTTCTAGAGTCTCAACATTTTTTTTACATCGTGGTGACCAAAAGTGGATGCAGTATTCCAAGTGTGGCCTTACCAAGGCATTGTGGTATTAATACTTCACGTGATCTTACAAATATACAAATATCTCAAAGTACCACATTAAATATTTCCTCTCTTTTCCCCTTAGTATTTACTGTCTCACGTTTAAACGAATACAATTCTTGTTATATCAGTTAAATAAAAAATAACGTTCTTACATTTATCAGTAATTTTTAGCTTATACATATCCTGGTTATTTCAACATTCAGTCTTGATGGACAATCAGTAATATCCTAATTAGTTTTTCCCAATTTTTAGTTTCCCATTTATATTTAAACTTAACATTTAATATTTATAATTGCCAAGTTTTAAGTGACCAAAATTTTCTTTATCGCAATTCATCACAAAGTCTAATATGCGGGATACGCGTCTGATCTATTTGAATATATTCTATTTCTCAGCATCTTACGTCAGAGGATGTACAGTGCGTTAAAGAAAAGTATTCAGACCCCCCCTTCACTTTTGTCAATTTTGCTATGCTGCAGCCCGATTCCACATTGGTTGAAATTAATTTTTTTCCCTCGTTAATTCCCATGATGACAAAGTGAAAACAGAATTTTAGAAATGTCTATGCATTTGTTAAAAAGGAAAAAGAAATGAAATATCACGCTGGCGTAAGTATTCAGACTCTTTGCAACAGCATTTGAAATGTAGCTCAGGTGCCTCCCAGTTCTGATTGTTTTTTTTTCTTGTAAATTTTTATTGATTTTCTAATATTACATTTAAATATTTGAAAGCAACGTGGCGGCTGGGTACAATAATTCTATTACACATAGATATCATTAATACAGATCTCAAACTGTACTCATTCCCTCTCTTTCTCCCTTGATATCTACTGTCTCCTATTTTAACTAATACAATTCTTGTTCTGTCAATCAAACAGAAAGTTACTTTCTGACATTTATCAATAATTTTTAGTTAACATATATCTTAGTTGTTTTAACTTTCAGTCTTTAGACAATGACCTGATCAATTTTTCTCAATTTTAATTTTCCGTTAATATTTAAATGTAACGTTTAATTAACGATCATTTCCACACTTTAGATGACCCCAATTCCTTTATCGCCATTCCTCTCAAAGTCTAATATTCAGGATACGCATCTTATCTATTATAAGTTCTCACCATCTACATCAACAAGTTAACAATGCAATAAAGTTGTTCTTATTTTCTAATAATTCTCAAGTACCTTAAAATTTTAAATTTAATGACCAAAATTTCTTTTATTTCCACATTTAATACTTCCTCTCTCTTGATTGTTGCTGACCTGTTTCGACAGTGTATACTTTCAATACTGACTCTCCATTTACCTCTATTTTTACAATGGGGGTGGAGTGGTGCTTAAAAGTCAAGAAACATATTGCTTTTGTCATTTCATCAGGTGAGTCTATTCCAAATTCATGCACAGCCACTGAAAAGTTGTACGGTACTGTCAGCTATTCCATTCAGTTTCCCTGGAGCTAACTGGAAACCTACAACTAGGAAAAAACACTGTCCCTCCTTGCTGGACTCTAAATAGCCCATGAGTTTGTCAGATATTCATTTCAAAAAATTATAATTTATCCATGATGCCTATTTTCATAGGCTCTAGTTTTGGCAATTTGTAAGCAGAAATTAAGGTTAGCCTAGATCAGGGCTAGGCAACCTTGGCTCTTTTATAACTCGTGGACTTCAACTCCCAGAATTCCTGAGCCAGCATGGCTCAGCTTGGAAACCTCTCCCTTTCCCCTTAGCATGGCCGGCTCAGGAATTCTGGGAGTTGAAGTCCACCAGTCATAAAAGGGCCAAGTTTGAAGACCCCTGGTCTGGATCCAAGCCCGCAGTTTCATCAAAATGTCCTTCAAGTTTGTCTTATGTTTCCTTTTTAATCTATTTATTTACTATTAATAAGTTATTATTAATAATTATAATAGCATTATAATTATTATAATAATGTTATAATAATAATATTAATACATTCAGCTAGGGGTTACATTCAGCTAGACCAGGGCTAGGCAACCTTGGCTCTTTTGTGACTGGTGGACTTCAACTCCCAGAATTCCTGAGCCAGCATGGGGGGGACTATGGCCCCTTCATGACTCGTGGACTTCAACTCCCAGAATTCCTGAGCCAGCATGGCTCAGCTTGGAAACCTCTCCCTTTCCACTCAGCATGGCTGGCTCAGGAATTCTGGGAGTTGAAGTCTACGAGTCATAAAAGAGCCAAGGTTGCCTACCAATAGCCTAGATTCTCTAGCCAGGAGCATTTGGAAAGCAGAATAGGGAAAAACCTTGGTCTTTTAGGCCCCCTAGATAGAAGAAAGAAAAGTGAACAATGGAAGCTGTTAAACCATTTGGATCGATACACCTAACTCTCATCTGATATAAAACTGGAAACTGATCCGAGTACTTCTGTTTATTTTTATTTATTTATTGCATTTTGAAACCACCTATCTGCTTCAGAGGGACTGTTCTTTCCAGATCGTGGCGTAAGAAATCAAAGAATGGTTCACCCAGTCCTAACCCATCTTCAATCTGTCAGTCACAAAGTTATCCCATATACCCTGTTGAAAAAGGTAGCAACAGAATGGCTCAAAACTACACAGAGGCCTCAACGTCTTAGAACTGAGCATGCTGTCTTTTCCAAGTGTGATCAATCAATGCAATAAAGTTCACACGCCTGTCTACAATAACCACGTAGATGGGGCATGAGAATTATGAATGCCTATATACTATATAAGATAGGATGTTTTTGTAAAGTTCTTGTCTGCCATATAGATAACCTTGCTGCTTTTTAAAAGTTTGCTAGGATTTTTGTATTTTAAAAGGTTTTAGTATTTTTAAAATACTAAAATGCTAAATTTTTAAAATAATTTTTAACTATGCTTCTACTTTCTTACATTCTATTTCTGTAATTTGTAACCCGCCTTTGATTGGTCCCCAGAGCACAACTGTAGGGTATTGACTGGGTGTATGCAAAGTGTGTGTGTGTGTGTGTGTGTGAGAGAGAGAGAGAGAGAGAGAGAGAGAGAGAGAGAGAGAACTACATGCATTACTTAAATACTACTAATAATGTTATTGAGGTTTTTAGATTTCTTTTTAACTGTTCACAGGTGGTAAGTTACCAGTGTAAAAATTAGTTTAACTTCATTGGGTAGCTGATGATAAGCTGTCACAGTACATGCTAAAAATGTAAAGACAATCTTGTTTTGCTGTGTGGCAAAAGACGTGACATTCTAGGTCAGTAATGGCGAACTTTTTAGAGACCGAGTGCCCAAACTGCATCCCAAAACCTACTTATGCATCACTGGGTGCTGGGTGGGCGTGGCCCATTGGGTGGGCGTGGCTGCAGTGGTAATGGCAGACTGGGTGGGACTAAAAAGTTCAATCAATCAATTCCAACTTTGCGAGATCTTTTTTTTCCCGCGAGAAGTTGAAATTGATTGATTGATTGAACCTTTTTTTTTTGTACACGGCGGCGGAGGTCTACAGCGAAAAAGTTTTATAAAACCCAGCTGAAGGCCTAGGACTGGGGCGACGGTGCACGTGCCCACAGAGAGGGCTCTGAGTGCCGCCTCTAGCACCCGTGCCATAGGTTCGCCACCACTGTTCTAGGTTTATTGTTGGCAATGCCAGCACGTTGTATTGAGAAGAAAATCTTCACTTACACAGACGTGATAAAAGCAGATAGACATTCGGATTTTTTTGTTTGTTTGTTTTCAGTGCGACTTGTTCCTGTCTCAACTATTCCTTGACTATACTGTCGTAATAATCACAACAAACTTTATTTAGGAACTTTATTGTCACTGGCAAATACATTCCAAGCTTCAGGCAGTGTTGTTTTCTACCTTTGCTTTAAAATGCTATGGTTTGAATTTGGGGAATTTTTGCATACCGTTTTGCCAAACGCAAAAAGGGGGCCTAAAAATATAAAGTGGATATAGTTGAAGTCAAGTCTTCTGAAGCACCCACCAGAAGAAGAAAGAGCTATAAACGCTGCAACTCAGGTGTATAAGGCAAGTAAAACAGAAGAATTAAAGCT